AATACTGTAATATCGTATCATATACTTACAGGCTTGATAAATAGTTTCCCGTCTTTTGTATAGCTGTTTGTTCGGTTATTCGTGTAGTACTCGAACTCCCAATTCTGAAATTGTTAAACAATACATTCATAATTTATCCTTCATGTGTCAAATATGCTTAATTTAAAACATTTTGTAATCTAGATAGCTTAAATACTAAAGGTACTGTGAGCAATGAGCTCACTAAATGATACCCCCGCCTGCCATAATGCCCATGTTTTGCTATATAGAGTTTTACGGTAACGTGTAAAGAGAAACTAGAGGTACTGTGAGCGATGAGCTCACTAAATGATACCCCCCGCCTCCCATATGGTTATAACTGGTGAAAAAGTCCATGTTTTCCTGTGGCCGGGAAACCCAAAATATCTGTCGGATCAAAAAGTAAAATAGGAGGTGCACAATGGCAATATGTAATAAAGATTCTGTGAAAGTTTCATTAAATTTCATTCAGTGGTATGAGAGGAGTTGCGGATAAGAGATGGGTACCCCAAAGCGTAACAGACGGACGGACGGACGGACGTACAGACCGACGGACGGAATTAACGATTACTATATACCCTCCCGCTTTTCAAGCGGGGGGTATAATAACTCGTGGTATCTAATGCTATTAGAAGGCGCCTATTCTCACGTCATAGGTAAGAATATAATGGCAATGTCTATGTTTTGCTATGGGAAACCTAAAGTACGTGTCGGATCAAAAAGTAAAATAGGAGGTGCACAATGGCAATATGTAATAAAGATTCTGTGAAAGTTTCATTAAATTTCACTCAGTGGTATAAGAGGAGTTGCGGATAAGAGAGGGGTACCCCAAGCGTAACAGACAGACGGACGGACGGAGAAACCGATTACAGTATATCCTCCCTCTTTTCAAGCGGGGGATATAAAAATGGCATGCTCTACAAACGGACAATTTCTGAAACGTTACTGACAAATAAGTTGATAAAACAAGGATATCAGCAATCTCGTTTTAAGTCTATATTTCGCAATATGACGATAAAGTGACCTTGTCAGCAAATGCATGTAAAATCTCTTTTATGTTGGATACTGACTGAAGTTTTTTGCCTTTTTCATACAAATTGTCAGGCCATTATTTTCACACTGTATTCTCTACGGATTTGTTTCGTTTACCATATCATGGCAAGGAACACAATAGCAGAGTTCAACGGTCCACAGAGGACGCTTATTCCTTCATGATGAATGGATGAAAAGTGAATGAAATATTTTTATTTTCATTTTTGTTTTATTAAATTAAATTATGGGAGAGGACTATCTTGTCCAGACCCTTTGACATGTTGTCAATAAAATATGTTCACAACATTAAATCTGTGATAGAGGCTAAATCCAAAATAACAACCCATTAATTATGTCGAGGTTATTAACATGGCTAAATCCATGTAAGATACTCCGTATATCTCCTTTTTTCTTGGTCAAACGACTATAGTTCGGTTTAAAGATAGAATTTGACCTTTATTGTCATGTCAGTCGAATTTATTCAGTCCAAATCTGCTTTATGTGCTTTTATTGAAAATTAAGTTGAAATTGACAATTTTTCTAATTCAGTTTTATTTAAAAAGGAATGTTGAAAAACAGAATGAATGGATTTTTTTATTCACATTTTTTTTGTTTTATAAATCTTTCATAAAAGTCCAAAATAACAACCCAGTACTGAGGGTATGTCGAGATTAATATGATATACCATGTATCTCCTGTTTTTCTCTCGGTCAAACGACTTTTGTTTAGGTTTTTAGAGAGAATTGATGCAGAATATGCACCAAAAAGAATGACGGAATTTATTCTGATAACAGTACTTAGAGCTGAGTTCTCATCAAACAACAGTTAATTTTGCTCATTTTTAATTTGATATCAAAAACTGTTTGTGTATATGCCAATAACATCCAGGGGAAATTTTGTATTGAGTGAAGTTCTTTCAATGTGCAAGCTAAAAAAAACTCTTTTTTTTTAAATAAAGAAATAACTGTACTTCAGTGCTTGACATTGTACTTAAAACATACTTGGTTAACATTTATTTAAGTAGGATTTTATGAAAAATATGTTGAAAATGTACTCATGTTCATTTCTAAAGTTATTCTGAGGTTTATTTATAATTATTAGATAAACTTTAATAGGGTTGTTCTCTTACTATAGATCTGACTTATCAATCGATACTTTAAAATAAAGTTACACATTTGTTTTGCTGTTATGCACTTGTTGGGGTAGGCAAAACAGTTAAAAACAAATGAACTTTCTTGTTTGAAGGGTAAATAAAGATTTTGAGACTCAATCAAACAAAGCGCCGATTTACAATGGAGAACAATCAAACGCGCTTTTCAATACTGCTATTAATGTAACAGTACTTGTTTAAGTGAGAAAAACTCACACTAACACCAAAGTTTACACGTGACATTACCATCAGTCACGCTGACTTCAACACTTCATTACTCTGGAAATAGCTGTCTTAAAGCCTTATATAGTATATAAACTTACTGTCTGTTAGCGTTTTCTGAACATTTGCATAATATAAAGCACAAAGCAAAGATAGTTTTATCTACGTTGTTCAAAGGGCCATAATTTGGGTTATCGAACTTACATTATGCAAATTTCACAACGTAAAATTAGTGACAACGAAAAAAGGTATATATAGGCTGTCTTTGGAGGGTGGATGGTGGGGGAATAGTGTTGACAAGTAAAATAAGTGTGCTTGTTTAAATGAAAATATCATTGCATGATACTGCACCCTGCTGCAATTCAATGCAACACATTGTAATGCCTTGCAAATTGACCAATCAAAATGAACTTAGTCGATTTGATTACCAATTGAATTAAAAATATGATTGAAAATCCACAGTTTTTATTTCCAGTTCTGAAGTCTTTTAAAAAGATTTAATGGGATGTTTTTTTATTGCCATTCTGTTTAATATTTGTTTTCTTTAATAGGTATCCAAGTTATCGATCAGTAATGTGTCGAAGGACTTTTTGTCAAAGTTACGTATTGATGATTTTTCTTCAACCGACAAGTTTTGGTATGCGCAAAACATCCAGACGAAAGGAAAAACTTGTCTTTGACTGATGAGTGGATTTTTTTTTATTTAGAAGAGAGTAATTCCTACAATTTAACTGCACATTATTGCACTGAACTAAAATGCAATGTCAATCTAAATAAATTTAAGTCTAATTGAATTAAAATATGATTGAAATCATCACAAAATTTTCATTCGTGTTCTAAAAAACGTTTCAAAAAATAGACTGAATGGGGATTTTTTAATTCACATTTAAAAAAATTCTTCTCTTTGAAATGAAATTAGATAAACAATCAAAATTTTTCATCGAAAGGACTTTTCGACAAAGTTACATATTGATGATTTTTCTTCGACCGACAAGTTTTGGAATGCACAAAACATCCAGAGGAAAGGAAATATTATCTTTGAATGAGGAGTGGATTTTTTGTTTTATTTGCAAGAGAATAGATAATTATATCAAAGGGACTTTTCGAAAAAGTTACTTTTTACTGTATTTTTAGTTTGAATTTTCAAGAAAAAAAAATCCAGAGGAAATGAGCACTTGTCTTTGACTAATGAGTTCTTATCAAACAACAGTTACTTTTGCTGATTTTTATTATCAAAAACTGTTTGTGTACATGCAAAACGCATCCAGGGGAAGTTTTGTAATGAGTGAAGTTCTTTCAATGTGCAAGCTGAAAAAAAATCTTTTTTTTTTTTAAATAAAGATATAACTGCACTTCAGTGCTTGACATTGTATTTAAATAGACTTGGTTAACATTTACTAAAGTAGGATTTTATGAAAAATATGTTGAAAATGTACTCATTTTCATTTCTAAAGTTATTCTGAGGTTTATTTATAATTATTAGGTAAACTTTAATAGGGTTGTTCTCTTACTATAGATCTGACTTATCAATCGATGCTTTAAAATAAAGTTACACATTTGTTTTGCTGTTATGCACTTATTGGGGTAGGCAAAACAGTTAAAATCAAATGAACTTTCTTGTTTGAAGGGTAAATAAAGATTTTGAGACTCAATCAAACAAAGCGCCGATTTACAATGGAGAACAATCAAACACGCTGTTCAATACTGCTATTAATGTAGCAGTACTTGTTTAAGTGAGAAATACTCACACTAAACCCAAAGTTTACACGTGACATTACCATCAGTCACGCTGACTTCAACACTTCATTACTCGGAAAATAGCTGTCTTAAGCCTTATATAGTATATAAACTTACTGTCTGTTAGCGTTGTCTGAACATTTGCATAATATAAAGCACAGAGCAAAGATAGTTTTATCTACGTTGTTCAAAGGGCCATAATTTGGGTTATCGAACTTACATTATGCAAATTTCACAACGTAAAATTAGTGACAACGAAAAAAGGTATATATAGGCTGTCTTTGGAGAGTGGATGGCGGGGGAATAGTGTTGACAAGTAAAATAAGTGTGCTTGTTTAAATGAAAATATCATTGCATGATACTGCACTCTGCTGCAATACAATGCAACACATTGTAATGCCTTGCAAATTGACCAATCAAAGCGAACTTAGTCGATCTGATTACCAATTGAATTAAAAATATGATTGAAAATCCACAATGTTTTTATTTCCATGTCTGAAGTCTTTTAAAAAGATTTAATGGGATATTTTTTTTATTCCCATTCTGTTTAATATTTGTTTTCTTTAATAGGTATCCAAGTTATCGATCAGTAATGTGTCGAAGGACTTTTTGTCAAAGTTACGTATTAATGATTTTTCTTCAACCGACAAGTTTTGGTATGTGCAAAACATCCAGACGAAAGGAAAAACTTGTCTTTGACTGATGAGTGGATTTTTTTTTTATTTAGAAGAGAGTAATTCCTACAATTTAACTGCACATTATTGCACTGGACTAAAATGCAATGTCAATCTAAATAAATTTAAGTCTAATTGAATTAAAATATGATTGAAATCATCACAAATTTTTCATTCGTGTTCTAAAAAACGTTTCAAAAATAGACTGAATGGGGATTTTTAAATTCACATTTAAAAGAATTCTTTTCTTTGAAATGAAATAAGATAAACAATCAAAAATTTTCATCGAAAGGACTTTTCGACAAAGTTACATATTGATTTTTCTTCGACCGACAACTTTTGGAATGCACAAAACATCCAGAGGAAAGGAAATATTATCTTTGAGTGAAGAGTGGATTTTTTGTTTTATTTGCAAGAGAATAGATAATTATATCAAAGGGACTTTTCGAAAAAGTTACTTTTTACTGTATTTTTAGTTTGAATTTTCAAGAAAAAAAAAATCCAGAGGAAATGAGCACTTGTCTTTGACTGATGAGTTCTTATCAAACAACAGTTACTTTTGCTGATTTTTATTATCAAAAACTGTTTGTGTACATGCAAAACGCATCCAGGGGAAGTTTTGTAATGAGTGAAGTTCTTTCAATGTGCAAGCTGAAAAAAAACCTTTTTTTTTTTTAAATAAAGATATAACTGCACTTCAGTGCTTGACATTGTATTTAAATAGACTTGGTTAACATTTACTAAAGTAGGATTTTATGAAAAATATGTTGAAAATGTACTCATTTTCATTTCTAAAGTTATTCTGAGGTTTATTTATAATTATTAGATAAACTTTAATAGGGTTGTTCTCTTACTATAGATCTGACTTATCAATCGATGCTTTAAAATAAAGCTACACATTTGTTTTGCTGTTATGCACTTATTGGGGTAGGCAAAACAGTTAAAATCAAATGAACTTTCTTGTTTGAAGGGTAAATAAAGATTTTGAGACTCAATCAAACAAAGCGCCGATTTACAATGGAGAACAATCAAACACGCTGTTCAATACTGCTATTAATGTAGCAGTACTTGTTTAAGTGAGAAATACTCACACTAAACCCAAAGTTTACACGTGACATTACCATCAGTCACGCTGACTTCAACACTTCATTACTCGGAAAATAGCTGTCTTAAGCCTTATATAGTATATAAACTTACTGTCTGTTAGCGTTGTCTGAACATTTGCATAATATAAAGCACAGAGCACAGATAGTTTTATCTACGTTGTTCAAAGGGCCATAATTTGGGTTATCGAACTTACATTATGCAAATTTCACAACGTAAAATTAGGGACAACGAAAAAAGGTATATATAGGCTGTCTTTGGAGGGTGGATGGTGGGGGAATAGTGTTGATAAGTAAAATAAGTGTGCTTGTTTAAATGAAAATATCATTGCATGATACTGCACTCTGCTGCAATACAATGCAACACATTGTAATGCCTTGCAAATTGACCAATCAAAGCGAACTTAGTCGATCTGATTACCAATTGAATTAAAAATATGATTGAAAATCCACAATGTTTTTATTTCCATGTCTGAAGTCTTTTAAAAAGATTTAATGGGATGTTTTTTTTTATTCCCATTCTGTTTAATATTTGTTTTCTTTAATAGGTATCGAAGTTATCGATCAGTAATGTGTCGAAGGACTTTTTGTCAAAGTTACGTATTAATGATTTTTCTTCAACCGACAAGTTTTGGTATGCGCAAAATATCCAGACGAAAGGAAAAACTTGTCTTTGACTGATGAGTGGATTTTTTTTTTATTTAGAAGAGAGTAATTCCTACAATTTAACTGCACATTATTGCACTGGACTAAAATGCAATGTCAATCTAAATAAATTTAAGTCTAATTGAATTAAAATATGATTGAAATCATCACAAATTTTTCATTCGTGTTCTAAAAAACGTTTCAAAAATAGACTGAATGGGGATTTTTAAATTCACATTTAAAAGAATTCTTTTCTTTGAAATGAAATAAGATAAACAATCAAAAATTTTCATCGAAAGGACTTTTCGACAAAGTTACATATTGATTTTTCTTCAACCGACAAGTTTTGGAATGCACAAAACATCCAGAGGAAAGGAAATATTATCTTTGAGTGAAGAGTGGATTTTTTGTTTTATTTGCAAGAGAATAGATAATTATATCAAAGGGACTTTTCGAAAAAAGTACCTTTTACTGTATTTTTAGTTTGGATTTTCAAGAAAAAAAATCCAGAGGAAATGAGCACTTGTCTTTGACTGATGAGTTCTTATCAAACAACAGTTACTTTTGCTGATTTTTATTATCAAAAACTGTTTGTGTATATGCAAAACGCATCCAGGGGAAATTTTGTATTGAGTGAAGTTCTTTCAATGTGCAAGCTAAAAAAAATTTCTTCTTTTTTAAATAAAGAAATAACTGCACTGCAGTGCTTGACATTGTATTTAAAACATACTTGGTTAACATTTATTAAAGTAGGATTTTATGAAAAATATGTTGAAAATGTACTCATTTTCATTTCTAAAGTTATTCTGAGGTTTATTTATAATTATCAGATAAACTTTAATAGGGTTGTTCTCTTACTATAGATCTGACTTATCAATCAATACTTTAAAATAAAGTTACACATTTGTTTTGCTGTTATGCACTTTTTGGGGTAGACAAAAGTTAAAAACAAATGAACTTTCTTGTTTGAATGGTAAATAAAGATTTTGAGACTCAATCAAACAAAGCGCCGATTTACAATGGAGAACAATCAAACGCGCTTTTCAATACTGCTATTAATGTAGCAGTACTTGTTTAAGTGAGAAAAACTCGCACTAAAACCAAAGTTTACACGTGACATTACCATCAGTCACGCTGACTTTAACACTTCATTGCTCGGAAAATAGCTGTCTTAAGCCTTATATAGTATATAAACTTACTGTCTGTTAGTGTTGTCTGAACATTTGCATAATATAAAGCACAGAGCAAAGATAGTTTTATCTACGTTGTTCAAAGGGCCATAATTTGGGTTATCGAACTTACATTATGCAAATTTCACAACGTAAAATTAGTGACAACGAAAAAAGGTATATATAGGCTGTCTTTGGAGGGTGGATGGTGGGGGAATAGTGTTGACAAGTAAAATAAGTGTGCTTGTTTAAATGAAAGTATCATTGCATGATACTGCACTCTGCTGCAATACAATGCAACACATTGTAATGCCTTGCAAATTGACCAATCAAAGCGAACTTAGTCGATTTGATTACCAATTGAATTAAAAATATGATTGAAAATCCACACTGTTTTTATTTCCAGTTCTGAAGTTTTTTAAAAAAGATTTAATGGGATGTTTTTTATTCCCATTCTGTTTAATATTTGTTTTCTTTAATAGGTATCCAAGTTATTGATCAGTAATGTGTCGAAGGACTTTTTGTCAAACTTACGTATTGATGATTTTTCTTCAACTGACAAGTTTTGGTATGCGCAAAACATCCAGACGAAATTCCAAACTTGTCTTTGACTGATGAGTGGAGTTTTTTTATTTGCAAGAGAATTAATCCTAGAATTTAATAACTGCAATTAACTGCATTGGACTAGAATGCAATGTCAATAAAAAAAGTTTTAATTCGAATTGAATTAAACTATGATTGAAATCAACATTATTTTTATTTTGTGTTCTAAACATTTAAAAAAAAATTGATGGGATTGTAATTAATTTACATCTTGTATAATATTTGCTCTGTTTGTTATGTATCAAAATTAACAATCAGTAATTGTGTCGAAGGACTTGTCTTTTACTGTTGAATAGATTTTGTTTATTTGCTGCTGAGTATTTCATTTGAAAGCCTGACAAATATAAATAATCCTCTATGATTAAACATACAATGAAATTCATTCTGGTCCTTTGGTATTGGGCTGGTTTGTACTTTCTTCCAAATACTTATAAGTTATGTAAAATATTTACGCACCCCACCTCCACTGGCAGTAATTTCATGTGTCCAGGTTTCAAAGTTCAAGAAGTCAAAGTTGTCCTCGAATATAAGACAAGGATACGATGTGCACGTCTGCTGAGATGGACCATTTTGTGTATATCCTGTACCGGAGTAGACTATAAAAAACGCAAAGTAGTGTGAAATTTCCCAGAATCATATTCTAAGAAAATTACAAAGGTTTTGTAATTGATATATTAATGAAATATAGTAAAATTTTTACCTTGCTGAGATCCCCCTGAAGATCCCCCAGAGCTACCCCCTGAAGAATGTCCCCCCGATGTCCCTGCATGGGTTTCAATCATGGTTTGTGTCAAAATGCCATCAGAATGACCCGAACTGTGACCATGACCTCCGCCACCAGAGGGTGCAGCAGTCGTGGTAGAGGTCACCACGGGTCTGACTTTGGTGGTTGTGGTGGTTGCTTTAGTAGTCGTTGTCATGTCTTCAACAGAAAGTTGGCAGTTGGTGGATACGTTTCATATTTAAGCAGTTAATAAAAAAAATTGAAGCTTTAATTTTTCGTACTCTATACACTTATTGCAGAAAAAGTTAAAACATTAATTTTTTTTCATTTAATTTTTTTTAAAACGATCCAAAGTGCTTATTATAAAATTTCTCGCGATTTAACAAACAAGCTAATTCGATATGATGTGCAAATATCTAAATGCTATATAGAATACATCTGGAGAAAATAAGATTATGGAGGAAAACAAGAGTTGTAATTTACCTCCGATTACAGCGGACTGTCCCAGTAACTCACTGGGTGTCCCTCCCTTCTGGGCGTGTAACCAGTAGTAGACAGTGTCCCCTTTGTGGACTTGGATACCAGGTACATCATTGGTGTGGACGAAAGAAGATCCTACAAATAGATATCAGTATATCATTTATTTGAATTAATATTATATACCCAGTAATACAAATGTTCCTTCTGGCGAATGTTTTGATGTATTTTTTCGTTTATTAATTGTAACTTTTTCCTTTTTTTCGGGTGGGGTGGGGGTGGGTTAAAGTTGTCATGAGATGCTCTTGATAAATGTAAATGCCTCACCACCCCCCCCTCTCTCTCTCTCTCTCTCTCTCTCTCTCTCTCTCTCTCTGCAGTAATACCTTCCTTGTTGTGGACGTCAAAGCCCCACTGTCCGGCTCCTACACCGGCGATTGGTTGATTGATGGAATAGTGAACAGCGACAAAGTCATAGTTACCATCATCTTCAAGAAAGAAAACAGACATTAGTTTCTTGAGGAAGTCTCTTACTAAAATACTATTAGATGTAATATTTTTTCATTGTACAGTAATTACAGAACTAGAGATTATACTAATGGATATCATTAGACGTAGCCTAATTCTTTAATATTCTGCGCTATAAAGTTAGGGATAAGTCTGCCTGATACGCATCCTCATACCTGGAATAGTGAATTTGATTCCGTGACCATTGTACAGCTCTACTGTTGCTGGTTGTACGGCAAATACGGATCTCGATAGTAACGAGGTTAACCCCAAAACCAGAAACCACATCTGCAACCATTATAGAAGACGTCAGAAAATGGAAAAAGAACTATATAACGCAAAATAACTCCACTTTCCTTCGATTATCAAACCATGTAACAAAAAAAGAAGGGGGTTACTCTAAACATAAAGATTGTCTTTCTGGAGAAAGCTCCGACCACATTATAGACGGGTTCTTTTTAGTTGCATTGTACTTAAAATTAAATTTATTGATAAGAAGTAATAATATCGTATAATTGATGGTATCAGTTACATTAAATGTATGTGCTGCATTATTTAAAAAAAAAAAACACGGTCAAGTCAAGGTCATTATCTTTTTCTTGACCCTATTGACAAAGCAGTTGCAATTGCTAAATTTTATTCTGTTAATGCTATAATATAAGTAAAATATACAGATAGTGACATGCCCACAATTTATAATTATAATTTTTAAAAATTATTATACCCCCCCCCCCAAAAAAAAACCAAACAAGTATATACTGACAAAACGTTAGAGATACTCAAGCTGTAGAAAGTCAATTAGGAAGTCATTAATATCCTAAAATGGTATAAGATGAAGGCTACTGAGTTCAATCTTCTGTTGAATTAAATACATGTACATGAAACAAAATTCATACATTGAATATAATTAGAATAAATGTAATTAATTGTACTACTTTTTAGATGAAATTACGTTACAAAATTTCAGGAATATTTTATAGAGGATAGTTGCCGTTTCTTAACTTAATGAAATATTTTTTTATGTATTTGTATTTTTTTTTTTTTTTGCTTAATGACGTACATCACAACCATAGGCGTCGGAACTGGGGGGGGGGGGCTTTTTTTGCAAAGATAGACATAATATAGGCATTGAAAACTGGGGTTTACGTTATTTTGTTGGTTTAGACCCCCTTTCAATTAGCCCCCCCTTTCAGTTTGCTTCTGACGCC